TCACCTCCTCGTGGCAATCCTCTCATCCTGCCGTTCTGTTCTCTCCCTGTTTCTCTCTTTCTTTCGCTACACCATCGTTCGCTGCGATACCAGCAGCCACCCTCCGCCTGCTCTCTTCCTCCCTGGCCCCGCGCCGCCCCCGGACCGGCGCTTTCTCTTTCTCCGTTCGCCCTCTATTCTCTCTCTGCGCACCCTGCCCGGCCGCGCGCGCGTCCTCTTCACTCATCCCTCGATCAAACTCGATTTCTCTCCTCCCGCTCTCCTCGCGCTCTCCGTCTCCGGCTCCTCGGAAGCGGCGTCGAGCGGCGCGGTGCGGCGCGGAGGCTCTTCTTCCGCTCGACGAATTGAGAGGAAACGAACGAGAACAGGTCCGAAGCAACCACCCGTCAACAGAGCTTCTCGCTTTATCGTGCCGTTCCTCTCTATTCGCTCCTTCTCCTCTAGCCTCGCCGCTCTATCAGCCTTCTCTGCTCCCCCTCCCCCTCCAAACCACCCGCCCGCGCACCACCAAGTCGTCTCTGTTCCGCGGTCGCTTGCAAAACTTTACGATGCGAAATGCCATCTCCGCGTCGCACTTTTCAACCACCCCCGCAACCCCCGTCGGTCTCTGTCGGTCGTTCCCGTGCCTGGTTTCAGCTCGTTTTTTTTTCTCGAGCGATCCGCCTTTTATTTTTCACCGACCACCCTCCTACGCCTTTCGCCCCCGTCGGCCTTTCTCTCGCTACGCGCGCAGTTCATCCGCAACTCGTCCCTGCGGAAACGTTTCATCGACCGAGACCATCGTTCCTCTCCTTCCTCTCTCCTTTTCTCATTCTCCTCCGGGCGATTTTTTTTCACCCCGGAAGAACTTTCCTCGCGTGACTAATATTGAGAAGCGCCCGACCCGATAAACTTCCCTCCGCTTTCCTCTTTCTTTTTCTTCTCCGCCGCTAGGAAGAGGAGGAGGTGGACGATAGGAATTAAGGTGACCGGTTTTAAACGCCGTCGGTAACGTCTTCGGTAAACAGCGTTTCCGTCGGTGGTCGGAAAAAAGTACGAGGAGACCGGTCATCAAACTTAAATATCCCTGGCAAGTTCTCCGTTTCTCCTCGTCACGGGCCACGAGTAAATTCGCCTAATCGCGTTACCCGAGTCGACCCTCTCTCTTTCTCTCTCTCTCTCTCTCTCTCTCTCTCTCTCCGCTCGCCGCTCAGCCCCGTCGCTCTCCATAACCGCGGGAGCGTTAAGTGTAACTAGAACCGCGGCGTGACGTAAGGAACGTGGAAATAAACGAACAACGCGGGGATGGAGAAAGGCGGTTCTAAAGAGAGAGGGGTGCACGGAGACGACGGGGAAACGCGCGGGGGCGGCAAAGAAAGGAAAAAGAAGGGCGCGAGTTGTAGGTGGCGGCGGTCTCGGTCTCGTAGCAGACTCGCGAGAGTCGTGGTAATAAATGGGCAACACGAGCGCTTATAAGGGGTAGGTAATCTAAAGCTTTCGAGGCGGCAGCGCGGCGGGGAACGTCACGAGAAAGCGAGTAAGGTGGAGAGGTTTCACCGAGGGGGTGAAGCTTTCGGAGGAGCCGGAAGAGAGGCCGGAGGGGGGTGGCTCGAAGAGGGTGGCGTGTAGGATGAGAAGAACCGGCTGTAGGAGGAGACCGTCGAGGAAGGGGGATAAGGGTGGTTACGGTGAGGGTGTGAGATAAGGTATAAGGTGGGTAAGATGGCGGACAATTTGCCGCTCGACTACTCTTGCCCGCACCCCTCCCTCGACGATTCCACCCCCACCCACTCTGGCCTATGTACCGGGTAATAGATGTTCCTCCTTCGCGACCAACAGAGAAACGTTGAACGCGCGCGCAAGCAACCCTCTCCTCCTCCTCCTCCTCCTCCTCCTCGTTCTCCTGTACCCTCCCTCCCTCGCCAGCTCGCTTCCTTCGTTTCTCTTTCTCTCTCTAGTGTCTCCAGGTATTCTATCCGTCCTTTTCGACAATATCGCGCGAGGGGAGCGAGTACATACACACGCGACGATGAAGAGAGAATCACGCGTGCACGCGAGTGCGACGCGAACATGCTGGAAAGTTGCGACCGCGCTGCTACCCCCCCATTCGAAGCCGGGTACGCGGTATTCACGTCCGCGGTACGTAGGTATTTTAAACGCTCTCCACACCGTCACCTGCCGCCGCCACTGTTCGCCCCACTCCCCGTACCGGCGCTCCCACCCCCGCCCGACCGCCGGCCTACCCGCCAGACCGCACCAGCATGCTCTCTCTTAGCATTCCATCCGCCATCTTCTCACTTAATAAAATAATTACCCCAGGCCAATTAAGCGTCCCCCGCCCCACCCAGCCGCGCCAACCCCTCTCGCTCACTCTCTCTCATCCGTAAATTACCCTACCCGCGAGCAACCCGCGTGCTACTCGCCTAGCAAAAGTCCCGCGACCTTCTTCTTCGTCCCGTCTACTCCTTTTTCTTCTACCTCGTGTTCTCGAATCCCTCGATTTNTCCGCTCGCCGCTCAGCCCCGTCGCTCTCCATAACCGCGGGAGCGTTAAGTGTAACTAGAACCGCGGCGTGACGTAAGGAACGTGGAAATAAACGAACAACGCGGGGATGGAGAAAGGCGGTTCTAAAGAGAGAGGGGTGCACGGAGACGACGGGGAAACGCGCGGGGGCGGCAAAGAAAGGAAAAAGAAGGGCGCGAGTTGTAGGTGGCGGCGGTCTCGGTCTCGTAGCAGACTCGCGAGAGTCGTGGTAATAAATGGGCAACACGAGCGCTTATAAGGGGTAGGTAATCTAAAGCTTTCGAGGCGGCAGCGCGGCGGGGAACGTCACGAGAAAGCGAGTAAGGTGGAGAGGTTTCACCGAGGGGGTGAAGCTTTCGGAGGAGCCGGAAGAGAGGCCGGAGGGGGGTGGCTCGAAGAGGGTGGCGTGTAGGATGAGAAGAACCGGCTGTAGGAGGAGACCGTCGAGGAAGGGGGATAAGGGTGGTTACGGTGAGGGTGTGAGATAAGGTATAAGGTGGGTAAGATGGCGGACAATTTGCCGCTCGACTACTCTTGCCCGCACCCCTCCCTCGACGATTCCACCCCCACCCACTCTGGCCTATGTACCGGGTAATAGATGTTCCTCCTTCGCGACCAACAGAGAAACGTTGAACGCGCGCGCAAGCAACCCTCTCCTCCTCCTCCTCCTCCTCCTCCTCGTTCTCCTGTACCCTCCCTCCCTCGCCAGCTCGCTTCCTTCGTTTCTCTTTCTCTCTCTAGTGTCTCCAGGTATTCTATCCGTCCTTTTCGACAATATCGCGCGAGGGGAGCGAGTACATACACACGCGACGATGAAGAGAGAATCACGCGTGCACGCGAGTGCGACGCGAACATGCTGGAAAGTTGCGACCGCGCTGCTACCCCCCCATTCGAAGCCGGGTACGCGGTATTCACGTCCGCGGTACGTAGGTATTTTAAACGCTCTCCACACCGTCACCTGCCGCCGCCACTGTTCGCCCCACTCCCCGTACCGGCGCTCCCACCCCCGCCCGACCGCCGGCCTACCCGCCAGACCGCACCAGCATGCTCTCTCTTAGCATTCCATCCGCCATCTTCTCACTTAATAAAATAATTACCCCAGGCCAATTAAGCGTCCCCCGCCCCACCCAGCCGCGCCAACCCCTCTCGCTCACTCTCTCTCATCCGTAAATTACCCTACCCGCGAGCAACCCGCGTGCTACTCGCCTAGCAAAAGTCCCGCGACCTTCTTCTTCGTCCCGTCTACTCCTTTTTCTTCTACCTCGTGTTCTCGAATCCCTCGATTTTTCAACGTTTCCAGAAATTTCGCCCGGATTATGGTCTCACCCTGTCCAGAGGGTCTGGCGTATCATGCTGTTGCTTTGATAAGCTTTTAAACCAGCACGAGTCCCCCGAGCTCCATTTTTGCTCGTACCATTGTTTAACGGCTCTCCGCGAATTTTTTTGCAGCAGACCGAGGGGTTGGGATCCGATGCGCGCGCGTGATAATGCATTTTATATTTATGCGCCGGCGAAAATTTAGCGTGAAACGACGGTGTATTGCTCGTCAGCACGGAAAATAATTTATTGATTTCCGATAACGGTGTTTTATCTTTCGCATAAATATAATGGGGAACGTACCTGGCGGACCAGGTGCGTTGCCCCTGGGTGGCCCGCTCTTGGCTCGTAAAGTTTTAGTTTTAGGGGTGAGGATGAACGTCGACCAAGAATTTTAGTCTGGAGAGAGGATTAGTCATCCCCCGTCTCCCACGCACAATCTTGAACAACGCAATAGTTTCTTTGATATTATGTGAAATGATTTTGAGATGCTTGGGGACTGTTTAGAAGGGAGAAACATGTGTGGGAGTTCAAGTTGTGGGAAAATGGAACATCCCCTAATACGAGCTAAACCGAAGATCTCTAAGGTGTATACTGAGCGACATCTGTGACTTATTTTCGGACTTAGCGGTGTTTTCGACTGCAGATTATGAATTGAAAGAACCAGGGAGATTTTATATTTATATATTTTTGTTTGATTTTGGGCTATTCTTAATCATTAAAAGTATCATTTACACGGGGATGTAATTATTTGATTGAAAGGCTGAGAATTATAAATATTTCTATTAGAAATTAAAAGTATAACTTTTCACGAGCCCAAACTGGATTTTAAATTCCCTGCAAAGATACAATTCTGAAGAATATTTTTGTATTACGAGCTTGAATTTATATTTCAGTACCTGTGAAGACAATCGTGATAAAAGACAGTAGCGCCATCTACCAAACGATGTTATACTAACAGCCACTGCAAACTTGAGTATTTTGCCGTGGATGGCGCCACAAGTTCGCTTTTCAATTTCATGTATGCATGCAAATGTAATGGCACGATATTTCGACAAAAGGCTTAATAATAAATTGTTATTAGACTGTATCGACTCAGAAATTTGTATTGAAAATTTTTACACTCGTAAGAATAGTAATTAATCATAATCTACGTGTCTTTTAAAACAATTTAAGTCATACTTACATTGACGGCTTCAGTTCGGTATCAAAATGTCTGCCGTGTCGTTGCTTCGTCGTGTCATCGTGAAACAAATTGCTGATTTTTCTGGTGTAAACGCAACGGTGTCATGTTACGTGCCGAAGAGATATAAATATAAGTTGATAGATCTTCCTAAGCCAGATGATCCTAGCAAATCTTACAGAAGAATCGTCCACTATAAAGATGAGTACACGGTAGAGCCTTTGGAGGTTACACACTTGGCGGGCAGAGATCCAAATACAGGTAAGAGAGAATCAAGCTTTCATTTTTTATTGCTTTATGATTAGCTGTCAACACTTAATAAGGTTCTGGCTGCATTATATGTACTTCACTGGCGTTAATTTCCATTAAATTGGGCACTTTAACTTGCGCTCGTTAAACGCATAAGTGCCGTCTGCCGATGGCAACGCCATTTCATGGCAGCGGCAACTAAATAAATGTCTCGTATGACGGGAGCAATTTGAATATAAAAATACTAAACCTAATTGTAAACAACATTTAAGGTGCATAAGTTTAATTGTGTTTTCTGTTTGTGCAATAATCATGTGTCTATGTATATTAAACCCTTGAAAATCGAGAACGTAACTAATACGATTAGAAAACCTCTGAGAAGCTAACGAAAAATAACTCAGACCTTTATACAGTATAAAAATAAAAATGCTAACGACATGATACATTTCTAAAACAGGTAGAGTAATAGCCAAGGGCATCGGTGGAGGCCTCAAGCACAAGTATCATTGGATACACTGGATTAGGAATGGACCGAAAGACTTGAACGAGCCGCCGAGAATAGACAAAGTTCTGGCTGTCTTCAAAGATGGATGTAGGACATCGTTCGTGGCCCTGGTCGGCAGTGGCACGGAATTGAGGTACATTCTAGCCACTGAGAACATGAAAGTGGGTGACCAAATCAAAACCCACATGGGCATACCTCGAAACCCAGTCAGAGCAATGGAGGGGGATGCTTATCCATTAGGGGCATTACCGGTTGGAACAATAGTCCACTGCATAGAAAAGTATCCTGGAGTGGGTGGTTTTTATGTCCACGCCGCAGGAGGCTATGGAACGATCATGGCAAGGGACGGAGACGATCGCATGATTGTTAAATTGCCTAGCAAGAAACAGTTTAGTCTTCATAGCACCTGTATGGCGACGGTAGGGAGGCTGTCGAATATTCAACACGGGTCGACGCCGGTTGGCAGCGCACAAAAGATGAGAGAGCTTGGTAATCGACCTAGAAGTGGATTAAAGCAAAAGAAGACTGGCAAATTCGGACGGAAGATCCGGAAACTGCCTCCAACTCGCAAGATCGATCCTTCACAGAGCAATGTTATGAAGGAAGTGATCGAATTGAACCACAACAAGCTGTATTCAAGTATCTAAACCAAAGATGAACGCATGTAGAATAAATGGATCCTTTATTGTACAGGTTTTATTGTTATCGTCACACGTTCCTGGACGATACCTCTAAATCATTGACTCTTTCCGTAGTCTCCCTTGAATTCCTTGGATTCCGCACATAAAGTCGCTCGCGACCTCACAAGAACCACGAGCCCGCCATCGATCTCTTCTCATTGTCATCATCAGTCTTTTCAGTCGTTCAGAGACCTTTATTGTAATACACCGTTTCTACGTTCGGATGGCTCGAGCGTATCTGCTCCTGCACTTCCGATTCCAATTCCTTTACCGAAATGGGAACCCGTTGGATAAATATTGCACAGCATAGGGGTGTGGCGAAAGTTAGGCACACTCCACAAATTGCAACCTGTATGGGCATCGCGGCCCATCGGGCGTTGCGTAACATTTGTCGCCGGTCCAAATAATTCATTACCAGAGGCGCCAATACTGCAAGTCAAACGAAATGAAATGCACATTAATTACCATCGATCACTGTCGGGAATACTTAACCCTGGGAAGACTTCTGGAACGAATCAACGCGTCGATCTCGCACCTTTTGCTCATGAAAATCGGAAGAGCTGCCTTTCTTGAACAGCATGATTCCCAAAGATACTTATTAAACCTTGAAGAAATATGTCTCTTCAGGGTTCGACAAATTTCCAAGTAATCAGTCCGAAGTTAATTATATTGATCAACCAGAAGTCAGCCCAGGGAAAGCAAAAATGGAATCGTACCCATGCTCGGCGAAGCCATAAGGATTCGCGAAAAGGTCACAGCATTAATAGCCTTCAAAGCAGTGTATCTGCTATTGCCAACCTTCACGCCGTCCTCCGTCTGCAGTTCGATGCCATCTCGAAGCTCCGAAATTCTCATGATGGGGATGTTCACACCATTGGCAGAAGCCACCGCTGCCAACGGGACTAGTCGACCCACAAGTGGTGACGCATTACGCAAAAATCGATTCAGAGATAGGGCAGTCAACACCGCACTTCCTGTTGCAATCATATAGCTCTGGAGGATAGTGTTCGTAGGAATCGGGCTGGATCCGCTGCGGTTCGTGTAATTGACTATGGCGTTGAACGACTGGTTAACCCACTGCCAGGTAATCACATGTGCCGTTGTCCTGTAGAATAATAAATGAAGCGAAACGTGTTAGAATTGATTAGGCCTCGTGTACCCCAACCCGCTCTGCAACCACGTTTCCACGAACAACAATCACACCTTGCGGTTTTCCCCCTAGAAATGTGTGCATCGTGGATCGATCGATCTTGTACAGTTACTCTATGAAATAGTACCCCTTCACTTTTATCCTCGGAAACGTGACCGTAAGCTCGATTAATTAGCCGCACGAGCGCGTTGCGATTTTGTAACTAGCCCAACGGGGTGAAAGGTCTCGACTGCTCTTATCGTATCAGCTGCTCGCTGTTCAAGGTCGGCGCACGATAATTTATTAAGAGACGGCCGTATCGCAGCACATACGCACTTGTAGAACGTCATCATGCACCCGGTTATCATCATGTTCATCGGCACCTGGGCGCTCATACGACCGATCAGCAGCATTTTCTCCCCAGTGTCCGGGTGGAATGCGCTGTCGTAAAGGTACTTGGAGTTCCATAGCTCGTCCTCTGTGATACCCAACTGCTGCAGGCTGCTACCTTTTCTGTGGAAGCGATAAAGTCCGAATAAGCGCTCTCTCTCTCTCTCTCTCTCTCTCTCTCTCTCTCTCTCTTCACTAAAGAGATATGAAATATCGATGTACCAAATTTCGTCATTGTTAAGTTGCACATGCGATAGTGCAATTGTTTGTAGCTTTTGAAAGATAGAATTTCGTGGTTTCTTTTTGCTGTTCGAAATTGCTATCGACGAATTTTTCTGTCAGCTTCTTGAAAATATTACAGCACTACAAATCTCTGTGTTCGAATGTTTAAAAGAATGTAAGAATGCCGGTCTCTTGATAGAAGCTTCAATGAGATTTTATAGATTCTTTGTTCCCTGGTCCGACATCTCGTTGCATTAGATTTGTAGAAATAACGCGATACTTTCTATCTAACGCGACGAGCAAACGATGCTTCAGCCAGAAGCTCAAACCTTTCTACAATGAAAACACAGATTCGACGGAGAACTATGAAGGAATGAAAATTCACCGGTAACTTAGCAACGCACTACGCCGCAGAGAGATGTAAATTGCGAAGATGCGAAGAACAGATGGTGACAGTAAACGTGTCGATTGATTACCTGTACTTGGTGACGACTTGCCGAGCAGTCTCGAGCTGCCCGCTGCTTGCAAACAGGTTCAAAGGGTTGGTAACCGAAAGAAAGTGCAACGCCCTTCCCCGATAGGTGTTCTGGTCCCAATAGGGTTTCTCGATGTCGATTCGTTGCATGTCATCATTGCTACCCGACATCTTGTTCGTCCTTTCCTATAACCAGTTTCGTCCCCTACCTACGGCTCTCGTCTAGCATACCCTACCACTGCCACGAATCCCACCACTTTGTTACCGGTTCTTTGTAGGTGCAGCAACGGCCGATGACGTTGATGATACCTGCCGGCGTGGTCCTCGCGGCAGGAAGCGTGCAACGTTATTACGTTCCTCGTCGCAGACTAATCGTTGTCCCCGGCGTTCGGACCGTCTTTCAATCGACGCGGTCGTTTCTCTCGCTCCCCGTGACCTTTCGATCTGTCCGCTTCGTCAGACTCCCTCTTCCCTTTAACCCCTGCGGAACTCCATCGATAATACGCACGCGTGCGCAACCGACACCCGTGCGACTAGCTCCGTCCATTCATCGGCTCCTGGCGCTTCGATGATAAGTCTGCAATGGAAAGTGATGGGTAATCCGAGTAGATATAGGAGCTGGACAAAATCGGAACGGATGATGAGAAACTGTCGATTAGGGGATGACGTTTTTCTTAGTTGCTTCGGCTCGAGTAAACAGAAGATCTTCGACATTATTTCCTTGGCAGTTCGACTGCGGCTACTTGGGCTGCGAGTGTATATTGTTTTTTCGAGCAATAGTGGATGGAATTCTTTGAACTCTATCTTTATTTTAATTCTGTTAAGGGATGATATCTTTGGTAGACACTTTAGCTTGTCTTCTTGGAGACAGTGGAACGTTTTCAATATTATTTTCTTGTTTGTCCAAGTTTAGCTACTTCGACAGTCTGTTTCTATTTTAGTCGTCTTTATTTTTGTTAAATCGAATCCAGCTGCAGGATTTCCTTCGACGCCGACTCGTTAGGGGATGCAAGGGCAGCGGACACTTAGCCTTGGGCCGGATGTCTAAAGATAGATTGTTTGCTTATGTAACACGTGTATCGATCGGGTAAACTAGACTGGGGTGGTTTCAACCCTTGGTCGACTTGCGCGATGCTCCACCAGATGGCGACGCTCGAATTTTTATTTCATCGTTCTAAAAATTTTTATAATAATTCCATGGCCTACTTGAGCGAGCGTAGATCGTATTCTTTGAGATTATCCAACGATTGTGTCACTGGATTATGCAACACTGTACACTTATGGTTATACGATAGTTGCCATATGATATACTGGTTGCCTGGTTGCCTTATCTTCCGATGTTAAATGACCTGAAATTCTCAAGATCCCTTTCCCCGGTATTTGTCATCTTTTACGGAGGGATCAAAATAATTTAATTAACGAAATTGTGATGCTTTGTTTCCGTTCCAGTGAACCGTGCATCCCACGATAAAATATTTTCGAACATAGTATACAAATAACTCGAGGAACTTGCTTGTTATGCACAATCGCTGGAAGACATTTGAATTTTATTCAGATATTGTATTCAAGGTTGTTTCCCCTCCTTGTATCCCCTCCTCGATACTAAACGGAACATATCAAGGCAGACAGGATCGCGTCATTAAGACGACTATAATCGCTGGTCAAATTCCATGGGTTTATATACATCTTGAGGAAGGGATCTTAGCGCGTATTGTTTAGTCTTTTGGGTGGCCTGACAGGATATGGCTATCTGCAGGTGTCAAGAGATAACCCTGCGTCGCAGGGCAGTAGCGCGTATTGTTTGGGTCTTCTGGGTGGCTCGACAGGATGTAATTATCTGCAGGTATCGGAAGATAAGCCTGCATCACACGGTCAACGACGGGGCTCAAGCCTAAACGGAGAAATGAATAGCTTATCGGACTTCTCGTTCAAGGTACGAACAAAATGCATTGTGCGAAAAGAAGCACCATGGTGCATAAGTAATTAACTCGTGAAAGCGTGCACACCTTTCGTGGCCTCTTGACACGCGTGCTCATTAGAAGTCAGCATCGATATGCTAATTATTCGTTGTCGGTGCGATTGACAGACTCGCTCGGTGTCACGCCTGGTAAATATTGACGCGGATTTGGCCTTGTTACAGTCCATCCTTTGCGCGTTAACAAGGTCATTACCGATCGTCGATCATTCGTGTGATTACGTTTAACTTTCTAAATAGCTATCGGACCGATCCAGTTCACTGTAATCACAGATCCAGATGGAAATTGGCAACTAATCGATAATCGATCGTCAATTATGCGTGCATACGATCCTCTTAATTATGGCGGGCAATTTGCCGATTTTTTGATCGAATTAACATTGGAATTAGTCCGTGGGCATTTCAGACCCGATCTAATCGTCCAGAAATCTCGCTGCCCGACTTCGGAATTCGATTTCACCGTATTTTTTCAGAATTTCATTCGTGGAATTCGTCGCATCCGCGAACTGATTCAGACATGCGACCGACACCGTTTCGTTCAGATATCGAACTTACACGGAGTTTCTAACTCACCCCTAACCCTTCCATTGTTCGATGAATTCTGTGCGACACCACGAATGCAACAGAACGAACCTAAACGCTTGTAATAACTTCGAGAAATTCGCGAAGGAATGTATTAATGGGTTCACAGTTTGCGCGGCTAACGACCTCGCTTTTCGATTTGCCGGCATTCTAGCGAGTAGACGCACCACGCTCAGATTTTATGGTCTTTTCTTCCCGTAATGTCTGCGACGGGAAAAAAAGTCGTGAATCAGTCGTCATTTTCCACGAAATAGAGATCGTAGGAAATAGCTCGTGCTCACAGGCATGCATTATGCTTGTATGCATATCGCGAACTCATCTGCATTTTGAAAGCGACCTGCTCGCTCCTGTTGTTCAAACAATATCCTCGAAGTTTCTAAAAGCTATCCGTACTAGTTAGAAATCCTCCGAGAAGCTGCAGACTCACGGGGGCAAAGAACGTATTCAGGTTTGCGCGAACTGCTGCTTGAACAGAAGCCAAAGAGTGTACAAATTGACCGATTGATGGAACTGGAGCAAGAAGTTACACAGATTTTTTAGACTCCTTTCGCAAGAACGAAAGCAGCGAGGATCTACAAATTAGATAGAAGGTGTTGATTAAGCAAATCGAGTAATTTCTCAGTGACACCTTCCGCTGAAAATGGGCGGAAAAATTGGGTCGTATAATGGCGAACGGTAACCGAAACAATAGCAGAACGTCTGAAAGACTGAAACCAAGAAATCTTAAAAATAAAAAAAAAAACATAAAATCTTTCTCGAAAGTGAAAGACCATTTCCATCAATTTTGAAACGAGTACACTCATCTCTAGCTATTTCGCGGATAAATATAAACGATTGTTAGCTAAAAATTCAGCGATTCCTCAGAAACTGCTCGGACATCGGCGATTCTCCCTCGGCAATGTCCGCCATGTTGGATTCCGAGTTCAAGCGCCTTCGACTGGTAATTGTTGCGATTTAAGACTGTTTCGAGTGCTTCCTCTTCGCGGGGCTGTTTAAAATTCTGTGCAACACGTGGTGCGTCAGCCATCGTTTGTCTATTCCGTTCACTACCTGCGCGATGGCCCACTTGTGCAGGCTAATGTCCACGCATGCAATCGAAACCGAAAACGAAAGGCACAACGTTCGCGAGTATGGGAATTCCAGTTTGCGGTATCGTGAGCGGTTTGGTCGTGTCGTCGCGGCGATATCCGTGACCGACTCGTTAATTACGATAGACGAGGCTTTAATTGCCCGACTGACACCGCGATGCTCGCTTCTTCGTTGACGTGTCATTAAATTGGATACAAATTTCCGTGATTATGTCGCCCGGCGAGCTTCTAGTGTCTTATGTTAGTAAACTTATGCTAATAGTAAGGACAGTTGTATGATTTTATGACGGAATCGTTGACAGGTTGCCACGTGCACGATAGATGCAGCTGTGTCAAATAAATTTCAGCTAATTATCTAAGATTCAAAAATGATACGAACGTTAATTTCCCGCTCGATGTTTCGCCGATTTAGAATTAAATTTTACTGGTATCTGTTTTTAACCCCTTCGCGGCTAAGGGAAACATTTATTTCCATTTTAAAATTGGCGATTGTCGCATTTAATTATAGCTTTATCTGCATTTAGATTTATCTGCATAGAACGTATGCCGAACGCAATCAAGTAAACGGGAACTTTTAGAAAAAAAAAGAATTGTCAGTACGCGGGCTGTACTCTGTTATTTCAGTTTATTGTGCCATGTAATAATATATCAATTTTGTGCAATAATAAAGTATATTTGAACAAATGAAAACAAACACCCGATAATGACAAATAATTCTATGGGAAAAATAATTCCCTGTGCTCGTTTTTATAAACTTTTTTTTATAGTTTTTATAAACTACTAGTATTTTGTTTTTTATCGTAATAATTATTATATTTATTTAAACTACACATTGTTATGTATCTTTCCTGTGATTTTTATTTATTTTACGTCTAAACAGACTAAAATAAACAGTTACATAGTAATACTTACTCTTAGTAATCTTATGATTCTGAAAGGGTTAACTGCGGAACGCTGCGAAGGTATACATATAGCATCGGTACAATCGATACAATCGAAGATCGTGTCACAATTTGTCACTGAAATTGAAGGCAACAACCGATATACCCGGCCGTCAACGTCCAATTTCTCTGAGATCGTGTTCCCGAAAGTTTTACGACCAAACAACAGCTCGCGCGTTACGAATTATCTGCTAATTGCCCTCCGGCTTTTCTAAAAACGAACAGTATCCAGGCCACGACGATTTTACGCGTTCACACTAGCCAAGCGTAGTCGCGTCTTTTGGCTTACGACAACTTTTTCAGCGGTGCCCGCTCGTTACGTTTCACCTAGTGGCATGATTTCGCGGCCGGACGATAATGAAATCTGCAGAGTCAACGGTTAACAAATTATCGACGATCCAACTCTATCCGTACTTTCACCGGAATCGATCTTGACGTCAGACACTTGGTAATCGAGATCCAGAATGCCGGAGCGATCCCGATCGAGGAGGATTCTTGGCAATCCAGAGAATGAGGGTCGCCGATTCGCCGACCGTAAACAATCGTCCGACACGCGGCGACAGTCTTCTCCGATCGTGGACAGCTGCTGCCCGAAACAATGGAATTAGCCGCGAATTAGGCGAATAGGCGGTCGCATTACTCTGGTCACGGGACCAGAAATTCGTTTTCCCTCGGAGCGTGTTCCTCGAATCCGCGCGTAACGAGCTCCATTTTGACTTCAATATTTCCGCCCGCGATTGTTCCGTGGCTTTCTTTTGGAAATTGAGAGAAACCTCGTGCCCCGTACTATAGTTAAGATTTAATGAAGATCGTGTACCGCATCTAGACTGGCAAATAAATTTCCGTTAAATTGAAGGATCGTAA